ACAGCACGATTTTAAAAGCAATGTATTTCTACTGCCTGCAGCACGTCTTTTTCTCCGGTCGGGTCGAGGAAGACCGGAAGCTGTGTGGTTCATAAAAACATGTTCTTACTCAATATCAAGCCACAGTTATTGCTTTATTTGAAATCGTATAATTTCGGACTTTTGTTGCCGTCTGTGAGGAAAATAAATGGGGCTCAGAGCCTCAGAATACGGAAATCTGTATTTTTAAAATATTTTTTTCCTTCTAATTCGATATTCTTTTCAAAATAACACACTGTTATTTACTCACCAATAACACACAATTATCCTTGCTTTTATTTATTGGTTTAATTCCATAATCTCGGGCTTTTTTGGCGTCCGTCAGGAACTGAATTTCAAAATAAAAATAACCGGAAACAGACGTAGGCCTATAAGGGACATTTCGAGCATCATTGCGATTGTCAACATTTCTGAGTTTAGGATGGCCGAAGACACTACACTACCCATAATCCCCAGCTATCGTTTAGGACTACAGTCCCCGTAAGGTTACGCAGAGCGTCAAACAGCTGTGTGAAATTGAACGAAACCACGCCAGACTATCCAAAACTGGAATCGAACGCCCCCCCAGAACTACACATGCTGGCTATTGTGTTTCGCAAAATGTTCTATGGGACGTCTCTACTGAACGTTTTATTTTTTCCCACAATTAGAAGTTGCCAGTATTAAACACATTGGTGTTATCAAATGTAAAACATATAATTAATAAATGGGTGAAAATCGCTTGTGTCCATAATGCGCAGCATTAATACCCACATGACAGCTCATTGTTACTTTGTAATTCTACTCCACTACAATTCAGAGGTTAACCTGGTATTTTTACTCCACTGCATTTATTTGAGTTACTTTGCAGATTCTGATTAATTATGTGAAATATAAACAACCCTTAAATCAGACTTTAGTTACACCTGAGTAAAATTCAGGTAAGGTGATTGTCAAGTGCCAACAATCAGGAGAGATATTTGATAGTTGGTGCTTGAGAAGACTAAACATGTATCTGCAATTGACATGAATGGAAACGAGTAATAAAGTATATTCATTACTCGTTATTCTCTACTAATAGTTAATTAAAGACTGTATATTATGGCTATTTTGCACATCCCTTTCAAGATTTTAAAAGGTGTATTGACATATCATATACACAACTACGGTGTAGTTATGCAATGAATGAAACACTTGGGTCACAGGTTCCTCAACAGTGCATTACAAGACATCTATCAATATGTGTGTACCTCCACCATTAAACTGTCATATTCTGCACATTTCTTATTCTATCTACATACATAAGAGTATAATTCATATGTATAATATCAGTTAAAATAAGTGCTTCAACATAGTTAACATTGCAGGAAAGCAATATATTAGACGTTAAGTACTTTGTCAGGCTTAATATTTATCTGTAGATAGATACCCCCAACGTTTTTTTCTTATTTAAAAGAAGACCTTAATCTGTTATTTAATGTTTAAATAAAGGTTAATTCGTTTTTCTGTTTTGCACTTCCTCCTATTAATATCTTTGTACATTCTGCACTAAACTGTTTTATTGTAGAGATCACTTATAGTATCTTCTTGATTTTTTATATTCTATATTTATACTTTCCCCCTATGAAAGTATGTACTCTTAATATTTTTTTAATCAAATAAAACACAATAATTCAATAACGTGCTTTAACCACTAGGCGGTGCACACAAGGTACACACAGCCATAATAACTTTGTATTATTAGTGAAGGACACTTTTGTTTTCGTACAACATCTGAAAATGTGTAGTTTTATGCATGCTTTCACATAATTTTACAGCATATTGCTATTACTATTTCAGACTCAGTATTTACATTCTTACATTCAAAGAAAATCAGTAATATCTTTAAAAAACTACAGTCCTTTTATATCAGCTGTGCACCGTTATGGTGTAAATATAACCTATCTGTGAATTAGATCAAATGTAAAAGTCAGCCGAATTAGTGTTGATACTGCAAGGAGACGTATTGTGTGAAGAGAAATTGAAGATGTTGTTTAATTGTTGAATATATTTATGATCCACATCAAGTATTCAGTTTCGGCGGCATTTTCTCAGTTTTTCCAAAGGTCTTCTCATCAGGGCTCTATAAATAAAGAACTATGGCAGATCTGTAATATACAATGCAGCCGAACCGTGTATTACAATGCCGTTATGTGATGACTTTCAAAGAGAAAAGCAAGAGCGCTCGGAATTAAGTATTATTTTATTCTTTTAAAATGTTTTCTGGATTTCATATCATATAAACACCAAATCCCAGCATGCATTGCGGCTAAAACATCCAATAAGCGAGCTTAAAACCATAGCTGAGGATTTTGGGTAATCGCTCGAAATGCCTACGTCTGTTTCCGGTTATTTTTATTTAGAAATTCAGTTCCTGACGGACGCCAAAAAAGCCAGAGATTATGGAATTAAACCAATAAATAAAAGCAAGGATAATTGTGTGTTATTGGTGAGTAAATAACAGTGTGTTATTTTGAAAAGAATAACAAATTAGAAGGAAAAAAGATTTAAAAAATACAGATTTCAGTATCCTGAGGCTCTGAGCCCCATTTATTTTCCTCACAGACGGCAACAAAAGTCCGAAATTATACGATTTCAAATAAAAGCAATAACTGTGGCTTGATATTGAGTAAGAACATGTTTTTATGAACCACACAGCTTCCGGTCTTCCTCGACCCGACCGGAGAAAAAGACGTGCTGCAGGCAGTAGAAATACATTGCTTTTAAAATCGTGCTGTGCAACACGAAAAAAAAGGGCAAATCGTGTTGGTGAACACGAATCAATAGATTAAAAATCGTGTTGGTGAACACGAAATGCCGTGAGACTGGGTTGGAAGACATTGAAGTATTAGTGTCTGGGGATGTCAATGCCTAATAATCATGAATGAAGCCTGGAACTGATGACTATTTAAAGCCATCAATACAGAATGAACTACCAACCCTGGTATTTGTTCAATTTGATTCAGCGATTTTTAACCATATATTCAAATCATATTTGACAAATACAATCATATTCACATATCATTTAAGAGTTTGACATGTTAAGTACAACCAATTCTCCATTTCCTTGACTACATATCCGGTTAAAGGGATATTTCTGATGGTATAAAGGTTTTATGAGGTACTTATCCATAATCACTGAATTATCTATTGGATGTCGGCCTGCTCTAAATGTACAGTAGGTAATATAGTGACTATGGATAAGTACCATATACAACCCCACTTCAAAAAGTCTGAACCATCCCTTTAAGGGTCACCTGGGGGTTAGAATCTATCCCAGCATGCACTGGGCGTGAGGCACGGACATGTCAGCTTATCACATAGCAAACACACATGTAGACACTAGACACACATTCACAGTCACATTCACACCTGCAGGGACTACAGAGTCTGCAGTGGAAATAACCTGCATGTCTTTGGACTGTGAGAGGAAACCACAACACCCGGAGGACCTCCACACAGACGGGGGGTGGACATGGTAACTCAATAGAGGCCCCCCGCCATCCATAATATATCTAGAGTTTATGAAAGATATTATTTTGTTGCTTGTCTGCTGGTAAAGCTAAGGACAGTAGTGTATTTCAGTATTTAAAATACTCTTTATATCCAGACAGCAACCAATAAATGAAATGAAAAAAGCAAAACAAATCTGATATCCGTGGACTGTAAAGTGATCAATAGTTTAGTTTTTTTTCCCAGATTTAAGTGATTGGACTGTGCGTGCTTTTATTGTGCACATTGCGCGTCAAAGGAGACGTCCACTATCTGCTGCTTGACAGCTATGAGTAAAATTGTAATTTTGGTTGTTTACTTGCATCATGTTTCTGTTCCTCATAATAACACTTGGAAGCTTTCCTTTTAGATAGAGCGACTTTTGGAGTAAATCCTTCCCAAAAGTACCTTAATTGAATCATTTGGACTAGGTTTTTTGTTAGAATTTTACAAATACTCTAGCTGGTTTCTACAATGTTAACTACCAATGCTTTTAAGGCCTTGATTTGATAAAAAAAAACGATTTTAAATCATCAGATGGTGTTAATAATGTTGCAATAGACCCCTGTCAGTTCAATTGGAAGTGAAAACGAATTAAAGTCCCTGTTCCGGGATTTTCTGTGGTGAGGGCAACTAAACAATTTATTTCCTTTAGACCACAAATTGTGCAAAGGTTGTACCCAAATTACCAAACAACCTTAACAATGAATCTATAAAATCAATGAGCTGGTTTGGAAATAAATAAGCTGTTTCCTAATGCTTGGAGGCATATGGACTCATAATATTTCAAATGTCTCGCTGGATCATTATTGTTTCTCTTCGCTCCAGGTGCAGTCAGCGGATGTTCTGCTCACCTTCACCAACCTAAACATTTGCTGTAGTTCAAGCTCAGTATGGAGAATACAAATAAAATCCAGATGTGTTGCCATATATAGCGCCACGTCCTCCACCAGAGGACAAAAAGTCCCAGCAAAGAGTTCCAACTGCATCCGTCCTTGGAACAAAACAAATTAATTATCTAGTGCTTTGTAGACGCAGAACTGCAAACTGCCCCAGAGAAGCCTCAACACTACTTTATCTAGTTTTCTGCTTACGATTGATTTTTGCAATGTCGTATTTGCCAACAATGTGAAAGAAAAATAACTATTAAAAAAGTTGCTGAACTTAAAAGGGGGCAAATAGTACACTTGTGAGCAGGAGTCACTTTGCATTTTTATTCAGGAAATAGGGTAAGATAGAAGGTATCTTCTCGTTAACGCGCATGTTTTGTAATTAAATGTTACTTACATTTTTTATTTCTGAACTGTACAAGTTCATATCAAAAGCAAGACACCAACTGGGAGGCGAGAACTGACAAAAACCTGGAATAGCAAAGAAGACAACCTGATTTATCCCCCGTTTTGCAACATTGTATTCTATTTACCTTTACGGGCTCATATATGAAAATAAGCTCTTTTTCTTACTGTATAAGCCTTTATTTGTAAAAAGTCTGTTGTTTGAATGATAACCCTTTTTATACCACATACTTGAACACCTTGTATTTGTAAAAAACACATTTTGTTCAAACACCTAAAAAAGCTGATTGACACTATAACATTAAATTGCACTGACAAAAAAAATACAACTTCATACTACACAAATGTTGATTCCATGAGTACTGATACTCCAAATGAAATCAAACACCTTATTAAACAACTGAATCAAATAAGCGCCCAATGTGAACAAAAACAATTACAGTACAAAAACCAAATGCATTTTTCTTCCAGTGCCAGTATATCAGATGAATTACATTTCCTTCTTATGATAAAACAACAACAACAGTAAGAATAACAATCCATAACAAATGCAACAAATACAATAAATCAGAAATTAACACAGAAATGAACCAAATCATTTACTAATTCATATTCAAAAATAAATGGGCTGTTGGTCTTGTGGGTTTCTTTCTGTCTGTTGCCATTTTTATAAAGTGTTGTTAAATCTTCCCCCCTCACTGGTAAAACATGAGTCTCCCTGGTGTGCTCCAGGGAGGAATACTGATGTGTAACTGGGAATCAGCTTCTTCATCACACAGTAATGGACAACAGACCATAACCAGAGGCAACTTATTAAAGAGAAAATACAGGGAACACCCACTCAGTGTGCAATCACATGGCTTACGTTCAGATGCTACTGCTGAGCATCCTTTACATCCGTTGTAGTTGAAGGGCGACTGATGTTAATGCTTATGCTGAACCTGATAAAACTACAGCATGCACTCGGTGCATCTATTCCAAATTGTGTGCTTTACAGTAAATACATCGTCTAGAAGTACATGTCTGCGATTTGCACGGGTCACACCATGTACGTTTTTATTTTCCCTCCAGTTTTACGAACAGTTTTGTTTCACAAGATTTAAAGAGCGGACTGTAAAACAAGTGCAATTTGAGCATGTAAACACTGGATGTTTCTTTTTCCTGGCTGTGGGGATGAATTCGGATGGTGCGGAGTAAAAAGATATGAAAATAAACCTTTCAAAACTCAGGTCATGCAAAACAAAACCTACAAGGTACGTACAAAATAATGAATGCACCAGCAAAAGTTCTTCTAACAGTGAGGAGTCTGTCAGCCTTGTTCTGGTGTTTGGTGGATGAAATTTTCTTGTGTGTTCGTGGTCTGTTCTTTTATTAGGGGCTCAGTTTTAGGCTAACATGCATTGCTGTTATCTGGGAGGGGTGTAATCATAGGTGAAATGCCCTAACAGAAGACTGGAGTCAACAAAACATGTCATGATTCATAACTTTTAGCATAAAGGTCCTGGCTTGTAATTCTACCATGACAATACTGGGCTTGAGTTACTCAAACAAACCAAGGTGCATTAGTGGAACTACGTTAGTATTCAGAGGGCAATTCCTTCACATTGCTAAACGTATTTACTCCCAGGAGCTACACCGCACAGACATACACTTCTATTGTTAGCAAGTGAGCAGCTGCACTTGGGCATTTGGCCAAGTGCCTTGCTCAAGGGCACATGTGACTGTCTTATTGAGGAGCAGGAAAGAACATCCCACTCGCCTTCTTAAGGCCATCCTGCTCCTCTAGCCTCTATAAGCCAGCTAGCCTATCATGCCCTTAATATTTTTTTCATAGACTCCCGGACAATTGGGTGACTTGTTGATGTCTGAGGTAAACACTGCAGGTATACTGTGCTGAAATCTAACCCAACTTTTAAATTCGGGCGTATTTAATGGGAAAGCCCACCCAGAGAATTTCATTCAAGATGGCACCGTCCCGTTCGCTGACAGTGAACCAAGGCCTGCTGCAATTTCCAGGAAATCGTTAGCAGCGCTAGCCTCGTTCTCGATGGAGCAGGTGAACCAATACAAGCTCAGAGCCACCAGAAACTCCGTCACTGTGAGAGGACTTTGCATTGATTTCTCCATTATTCTGTTCACACCATGTATTTCTTGTGTTTCATTTTTTAGGTTTCGTTTGCAGAAGTATGCCAATGCTAGAGAAGCGGTCCATGCCATTAGCAGTGAGGCTAGCTGGTATTACGAACTGCCATGTTTTTGTTCATGCATTAAGAACTATTAAGTGAAAGATATCATATTTACAGTACAATTCACATGTAATTACACATATACACTAGAGGCAAGAAAATTCACATTGAAATCAGTTCAACACTTTTTTTTTCTCCTCCTCTACTCCTCAAACATATGTGTCAAAAGGAATGTATCTTCTCTTGTATAAGCAAATATCCTAAAGTAAAAGCATAGAAAAGAAGATCCTCACAGCTTTTGGGATGGATGTGCTGATTTCATGTCCAGAAAGCAGGTTAAACATGTTCTGAGTGAGATGAGTGCTGAGTAGATTTTGCGAGCATGCAAGGGCTGCTAAGGTTTCTCCTCTGTAAGCGTTCAGAGTTTAATAAAGATATGCATCAAATATCTCTCAAAAGAAGATAACACCTGAATAGGCATGTTTGTATTCATTTCTGGGAATTATCTGACCTGAATAAGAATCTAACAGTTAGTTTGTGTTACAAAATGTAAGGTCAAGTTGAGGCCAAAGAGTAGGAAAAGGCTTCTCTCTGGTTCTATTGATTTACTTAGAATAACACTTATATTGTTTACTTAGGTCCCATATATATATTTTTTTCCAACAATATTTGCTTGCACTGGAAAAAAGAGTATCCTCACACTTTCAATAAAGATCCATCATATTGCCTTTGAACAGTTTGACAAGCTGTTAGTGTGATCCCCCGGATGAAATGATGCAAAGAAAACACTTAGTAAAGGGCATTATTGGAATGAACTTGCATTCAACTAACTATTACCACCTTTCATATTTTTATTTCTTAAGGTCAAGGTAACCTGAAATATGAGTGTACCCTTGAACCAACCATGGGAGTTATTTACTCTGCGGGGAACACAATAAGGATCTGCTCTTTATCTTATTGCAAAAACCAATTGGCAAATCTATGTAGTAATTGCATCATTTCAAATGAGAAGTTAGAATTGCAGCATGCAGATCTTAGGAATGTGTCTTGTAAGTTAAAGGGGACATTTACCAATTCGCCACACCAATTTCCAGTCTGCTTTACAGGTTTGGGAAGAACTACTGTATATGTGGGGGGAAAGTACCCTTTTGTGGCTCCAGAGAGTTTTGTGTTGTCGAATAAATTGGCTCAAGTGAAGTCACTTGAGTAAGCTTGGTCTGAAGACTAGAAATTAGAGGATTAAACAAATCTGAGGGGGCGTGGAGTAAGAAAGACGTGAGCTGAGCAGGGCACTCCTCACTTCTCCTTAAGGCTAGCGCCTCGAGGCTACATTAGCCGCTACTAGCATGTGGAAACAACTGATGCTACTGTTTTCAAGTTCATTGCATTATAATATTGCCTCACTTCCATTTGGCAACTTTTAAAGAATTTGTGCACATATGCTGCAATTTCGGCCTTTACTCTTACCACAGTGTAATACTCAATATGTACTCTTTATATAACACAATATAAACTGCTAATTTAGTTCATTGCGGCACAGCCTTCTCATAAATAACAATAAATTAACTCTCTTCACATTTAAGACTCATCACTATGTTTTGGTCTAATCCTTTGGACCTCACAGTTGACTGGAGAGACAAACAACAGATTGTTCAGCTGCAGACAGAAACAAAACACTCAGCTCAGTATGTTACCCTCGTCCTCATCTTCCTCCATATTTTTGTGGATTACTGGATACTTAAAGGGGATCTTTTTTTTCTTTCTCTTTTCACGTTCAGTACAATGACAACAATATTTCAAATTCAAACAAATATATAAACCAGACTGGAATCACAGCTCAGGCCACGTCACTGTACAAACGTCACTCTGACTCACGGAGACAAATTGCTTTCTGATCAGTATTCCTTTCTGCAGACCGTATGCACACTGCGCTCCAGAGGGGAGTGGATACTTCTCGGGATAAATGACTCTGCAGCCATTCCATCTTCCTCTTGTCCCTGTGTGTTTGTGTCTGTATGAACATTTCGCTTTCTTTTTCCCATTTGTATTTCTCAGGTACACTGCAGCGTATTCTAATCAGCCAGTCACTTTTTTGTTTTTTTGTGTGTTTCAATGTTAGATTTGTCTGATCTGCAATTCTGCTGAAGCTAAACAGTCTTTGGAGGATATTCAAATGTGTTTCCTCCCTACAATATCCACAGTTTACTGCCTCATAAACTACTTCTCTGACCTCATCTAAATGCAGGCTTCTGACTACTTAAGGCATGTTAGATTAAGGACTTTTTATCCAGATTTATGAAACGGTAATGTGAGAGTCATTTGGTAAATTATTAAAAAAGAAAAATGACGATACCAACCACGATTTAATAAATCAACGTCCGAAATAAAGAATTCATAACGTTTCCTATGTTTTAGCATTTTTAAGAATTTTGAAAGATTGATTTTGGACATTTTAATACCAATAAAGAATTTATTTAAAGATGATTGAGCTTAGCTAATTAAAGTAACATTAAGGATTCACAGGAACAATCTAATTTCCTTCACTTTTCGTTGGTGGCTGGTTTCCAAAACCTTAAAATATGTGGTTAAAAAATAAAGGTCCTATAGGAGTTTTTTTGTTCTGTTGCAAATGACCCTGAGCACTGGAAATGCAGTGTGTGTTTTTATGTGTTTGAGAAAGAAACCATATGATTATAGGCCTTTTGGTTGTTATTTCAGTTCATGGCTATTAATCACATTTTCTCCCGAGAATCACGGCATCATTCCCGATGAGGCTGATGCTTCTGATCCTCGGGGGTTTGGAACATATTTGTGATGGCACTGATCGAGATTGAAATGTTGGATACTTCTTCTCACACATATTCTGCCCGGGCTGCCCATCACTATCGCAAATAAATAATCTTGCCTTCACGAACTGCGACTCCAACACGAATGCAAAACAAACGAATAACAAAGAAATACTGAATGACAACTGGTCAAACTGCGGGCTGATATGTTGACTCTTTTTTTTTTTTTTTCCTTTTAAATATACATGTCCTTACATCTCTGCTGTGGAACCATTTTCCAAAGGAACAGCAAAAGCAATCCTCCCATTTCCTTTTTAGCAAACACAAAGCAGGATATGACGTCGATGGACTCTGCTTCTAAAGAGCACGAGAACCAGTCAATAGGAGGAAATAAACAGCACACCTTCATGAGAATACCGAATGATTAAAATGTATAGAATATTTCTTCTTCACACAATCAAAATGAGTAATGCATACCTTTGACTCTTTTATCTTATAATGCCCTAGCTCTAGAACATGTTCCGACACTCTCTGAAATCACAGTATTTTTCAAGACAAAATCATATCTACAATAATCAGCACTTGTTTTCAACCATAATGAAAAAGACCCGCCCCCTCCCGATACCCAAAAGACGTGATAAAAATAACATGAGAAGAGAAAGGAACACAAGTTTGCGTTGACTCTGGGGGGGTGGGGGAACGCGGCGGTCGGTCATCCCATCTCTGGAGCCCGTTAGGCCGGATGTCTGATAAAGAGAACGATACCACTTCAAAAAACCCAAGGAACAACACATAATCCAAACAAGGTTGCTGTACATAGTAGAACCGGAGATTTTCCGTGCATGTTATCCATGGGCGATGGGTGGGGTCGTGTAGGGTAGGGGTGGTGTGGAGGCGGCGGGGTCAGGGGGGGGGGTTGTCAAGGATCTCACTCAGCTGATGCCTATGCAGAACGAGCCACCACTGATCTCATGAGCTGCAGTCGAGGATTTCTGATTACAATAAGTATCAATAAAAAGTCAATGGGACTCTGAGACATCTTTCCCCTCACAAGAGTTTCACTTTCTCTTTTTTCTTGTGGTTGTTGTTGGTTGTTTTTTTTAGCAAAAATATCATGCAGTCTTTAGTTCCAAAAACCCCGGGTGGGATCTCGTGTTTGTGTGTTTGTTTCTTCCGGGAGCAAAAAGAAACTCAAAGCCTTGAAATTCTTCTCTCACAATTACTCTTAAACATTCAAGTCATCCTATTAATACTTTGTACAGCAGAAAGGTCCTTCGGATTTCACACATGTATATATAAATATAATATATATAAATATGCATATACATATGTTCAACTTGTATATGTGTATACATATTTTGGAACTGTATCAAAGCCAATTTAATGTGCTCTCAAAATATGGCCCATGATTCCTAGTGGGATGCACGTCAATTCACATAGTACAACCAGTAGATTAGGTTGAAAAATCCAAAGGTGATAGGGAAAATGACCCGGGACCACTTGTCAATGGTGCTAACATCTGACAGGTTTGGGATTTTCAACTTGAGCTTGGAGGATCGTCGTCGTAGCCGGCAGTTGGCACGGTTACGCATGGCGCTCCGGTCCAGCGAGTGGTGGCTGAAGCCGTCTCGGGGCGTCATGGGCTTCCTGAATTGGACCCCGGAGCTGTCGAAGGACATGACGGAGTTCCGAGAGTCACTGACGCTGCTCCCCACGTCCGAAGGCATCACTTCGTTGTTCATCTCCAGCGTGGTGAGGAGGATGTTTCCATAAGCATCCACCTGCCAGGACACGGGAAACAGAGTCAGCGAGGGGAAGTGTCGAGCAGTAGCCCCCAAAAACCCCCCTTAATAATTCATTTAATTTAGCTGTCAAAATACAGGGATGGTATGGACTTTTTGCATGCCACAGAAATAGTTAGCAAATAGTTTATCCATTAGTGACTTTTCACAACAAAGTGACATTCTGACTTTACTGTGAGGGCTGGACTACAGCTGATATGATTTCTAAATACATGTACCCCAACTTTTCTTTGTTCCTCGAGATACAGATTTCTTCGCTGTGTAAATGACCTGAAGGTGTTGGTTTGATACGACGCGGAAATGGAGTCCTTGCAATGTGAAAGAAAAAATGAAGAGAACATTAAAAAAGGCTATAAAATTCCGGCAAAGAAGCACATATTTCTCAAAATTACACTTTGCATATAGACATAAAGTTTACAGTAAACAACTTTGAATAAGCATTTACACAACAACAGGGAGGGGTGGGCTTCATTCAGTCTGACAACTTCAGCATCTGCCATATTAAAAATCCAATGCTCATTCTGTGTTTTTTTTTAGCCCATTTTAGTTTTAAATGTTAACATACAAAGTAGCAGAATGAATGAAGCCCACAGCTATACAGAGACAACAACCTAAGTAGGGAATGGGAATGTTTACACCACTGTCGAGCTAGATGAATAGCTATCTCAATGAAAAGGGCTATGCTGGATAAAAAGCAGTCAGTGCTTGAGAGCAATGGATGATGGTTGGTGAATACATATTGGGCTGTGGTGGCATCAGTATGCTTCTGGGAGATTACTTCAGGGAATGCTGCATATGTGTCTGAGGATTAAATGCCTGGGAAACTTATGAGCAGAACACAGCTGTTTTGTACTTGAACCCTGACTGACACGGAGAGAAAGCAGGAGATGAAGATGCAAACCTGTTCCCTCAGGCGCTTCTCTTCGTATCTTGTGCGCTCGTTGTTGGCTTTGTTCAGCCTCTCGTTGATTTTCTTCTGTTGCGCAGGGCCCCGGCCAAAGAACACGTAATTTACAAAGGCATATTCGAGCAGGGCCAGGAACACAAACACAAAACAGCCCATGAGGTAGACGTCGATGGCTTTCACATACGGAATCTTTGGGAGAGTCTCCCTAAGGTGGGTGTTAATTGTTGTCATGGTAAGCACCGTTGTCACACCTGAGCACAGCAGCACACACAAAGACAGAGAGGTGAGCGTCACACACTGGATCAGCATTTAGACACTTTGTAATGACATCATGTGACCAGCGTTACTGCAACTCGTACAGTGAGAGGTTTTCAGATTAGGGGTGGAAGATACACTGTTATAGACGATGACTGTTAGAATTATACATTTAAATATTGATATTTTGTTGATAAAACACATACAATTACAATGTGCACTTAATTCCTGATCTGTTCCTGCTTTATCTCCCCCCACTACACACATGAGTGTTATTCATTTGATATAAAAGAGACAACATGACAAATAAAGTTAGCTAGACATTTGACTTGATCTTTAAATATTGCTAAAATGTCAGTTATTGTGAATTATTTTGGTCAAAATAAACATGACCAACATTCTGTGGCTGGTAAGAAGCAGTTCATTGTAACTACTTTATATACTGTCTCATCTAAAACATCATATTTTGTGAGACGATGTTACGTATTGGATGTGAAGTCTAAATCCAGTGTAAATACAGTGCATTCAAAAGGTAAAAAATGTAGATTATAAGAAGTAAAAATGTGCAAAGAATTGGATACTCAAGTGAAACTTGCAAAAAGTACAATTTTAGGAAACGTTGTGATATTTGCCTTTGCAGACCATTTACATGAACAAAAAACCTATATAACACACTACAGAAAATGTCTGTAATGTCAAGAACATCACAAAAGCTGGGATAGTGTCATTGAGTTTCGTTAGATCATGAGACGTTCTGTGTTCTGCTTTAATTAGGACACATTTGTTTTATTATGAGTAAGCATGTCTGTCTGGCTCACTGATAGAATGCTGTAAGTGCTCTCAATATTACTCATCAGTCCATATTTAGACATCAGGACGTCATTATTCCTGCAGTCCGTGTTTAAACAGCGCTAGTTGATTTGAACAAAGTTCCACGTGCCAGTAAGTGCAGACAATGTGCACAACAATGTAGAACATGTGACAGCCCCATGCTCTTAGTTGCTGTTATATCACTGGGTTTAACAGTTGGGACTTTAATAATGCAGCGTGGCTGTGTCTTACCCAGGGCCACCCGAGCTGCAGAGGCATCATAATTGATCCAGAAGGAGACCCAGGAGAGGATGGTGATCAAGATTGAGGGCATGTACGTCTGCAGGATGAAATATCCAATGTTCCTCTTAATCCTGAAACTCAGCGAGAGCCTCGGGTATGAACCTGTAAGGAGAAAGGATGGAGGGAGAGTTTGGAAAAAAGGGCAGGGACAGAGTGACATCATTGACAAAAAGGAGAGAATAGAGAAGTGGGGGGAGAGGTCGCTGGCACAACTTAGGAGTTCCAAAGTCTGCACTTTGACAACGCGCAGGGTAGTCATTTCTCCATTTGTTCAGATGGAGCACTTAATTTCCCCAAAGCGACGGATTCCTTTCCAGGGACAAGTTCGATTCCAATTAAACATGGCAGAAAGTCGCAAACGAGGCAGATTTTTCTGCAACCCCCTATCTCAGCAGGCAGCTCAGCATCCCTCTGAGAATTGTCACAGAGCGCTGCTCGGCCTTCCTTTCGCACTTTCTCCGTCCTCCAAACATTAACAAAAGGGCATTTTAGAGGCGCATAATTGCAACACATGCCTTTACACTAAGAAAAGGAAGGAACATATACAGTAGGTGGTAACTCATTCCAGTGAACAGGAAGAATATCAGCAGCTAGCGCCAAGACGTTAATTGCTCTTTTGACTGCACTTTAATTTAAACACGCTGAACAATACAATGCTGAGGCAAACAGCAATATAAACATCAAGGCAGGCTCCATCTGCTTCAGCTCTACATATTTACGAGGCTGGAAACAATACAAATTGCTCTAAATATAGTTAAATTCCCTTCTTTGTATTCCATTTATACTTTTATTTCCAATATGTCACAGACGGAAAAAAAAGTTCTCAGATAAGCGTGATGGTTTTAATCTAAAAGGCGATTTGCTGTGGGGAACGCACAATGATGAATGACCTCATCATCTCCAGGTTCCTGTAAATCTTTTAATGAATCAATACCTTAGCATACATACTTCATCAAACCTGAGACAAGTGGCTTAGATCACCCAAGTACATCCTAGATTAATGGAGGCGACAAATGTTCACGGGTTTCATTAAAGTCAAACGTGAGGGTAACACTTGGACTTGGATGATTTGGTGGAACTGAAATGAGATTACTGACACATTCACACAGAGATTTTCTATCACTTTTTCTTGTTGTATTGGATTTTATTTTACATTTGAGCTTGTTTTAAATGTGAGTGCCTTTTTGATACATGTCAGAGAATCCTAGAAGTAAAAGCAGCATTTAAAAATGTATTCCGATTCATTTACTCAATACGTGTAAAGAAATCTATCCTAATCAAAGTCTCACAATATTAAAGTAATGTCTATGGGCTTACAGTAGATATGTCTCGTAATTATTTGTGTGAACATAAAAATAATTTGTGTGTAAATATGTGATTTGCAAATAATTTTTCCGTTCACACAAATAATTATGAGACATATCTATGCCCATAAATGTAACATGATTACGTTCTGTAACTTTTGGATTAGTTTACCAAATGAAGAGGAGAGAAGAAAAGACGTTTTTCACCATTTTCTTGCATTTAAAGCAGAAAAACATAAACAAAAATTATAAATGAAGCCTTCCAGCTGTGAGAATCCATCATCATCCAAGGACTGGATTAATAAACAGCCATGTTTTCTACATTGAGTTTGTTTATAATTAATAATGGCTATCAATAATAGAATTTATTTTTCATTTCCTTACAATTTCATTTAATTTGTATTGAAATGTTTCATTTAAATATTTCAATGACACTTGTAATGAGATGTTTTATTCTTCACAAGTATCATTCATATCATATAAAGAATGTTTCCTTTCATTAGAGACTTAATTTAATTTATAGTGTATTTCTTTTAGACAGAAAAAAGTTTAAGAAGCTAAAAAATAAAACCATTACATTATTTGACGCTATGTCTGAAGTATGCAGTGCAAGGTGCAATATTGCAGGTAGAATGTCAGTAGGACATATCTACAGTATTTACTGTGTGTTATTGCTGGGAAATGCATGCGTCACACATAAAAAGAAATAGGCAACAGAGTATTTAACTGAAGGTCTGATTCCAATTGAATCACTGAAGATGAAATATGCCAGAGTAAATGACTGTAGTTAGAAATAAGTGCACATAAGAAAGCTGAGATGACCACCTACAATCTGTTATGCATCGAAAAAGGAAATGAGTTCCTGCACGACTCACATATATAATCATACTTCCTGTGGGGACAGTGACGTGTTTACGGATGTGCTCACGCAGAACTCGCAGCAGTTCGAGAGGTGTTTATAGACAATGTAGCAATCATTTGGTGAAGGCGGTTGACACCTGCAGCCCAATTACAGTAGAAGCATGTTTGTCTCCTCACCTGTAGTAAACTGGACCTCCCTGGACACCAAGCGGAGCTCCACAATGGAGAACTGGGGTAACTCCAACTTGTCAACGCCCGTCACAGCGGTGTCCCCTCCCTGCCAGAAGAATACGATGTCATCTGTGGTGTATCCGTCTGTGTCAAGGAAAGGGCAAAATCAGGAGGGGAGAAGAGAGGGGGGAAGAGAGATAAACACGTTTCTATTTAAAGTCTGTTAAATAATAACGACTAAAAGTCGCTCTTACCAAGTACACATTTTACAAATAGAAAAATTGTATATTTCTATGTATGTTCTTACAGTGACTCAGTCAGTTGTGATATCTTAACCCCAAATTAACCCCAAACCAGAACATATAAGTATTACAAAAGTATACCCTCTATTAAAGGACTCAATAAAATATATTTTTTTCTACCCATTTTCTTTTCTTTTGGACAAGAGCAATGAAAAACACATAAGATATACATAACAATGGGCCAACAGCACATATTGTGAGCTATAGATTTTTTAAATTGTACCCTTTGGCCATGAGTTGCACAGCAGCAATGACAGTGAGATTTGTCAATGTCCACAGCTGTCATTGGGATTACATTATGCTTGGTTGACTCATTATTGCCAATAATCGTATTTTTACCGTCACCCTGATCACTAATTTCATTATTGAAGATTTCCAATAAGATCAACAATGAATACAAATAATACAACTTGTTTGTTGGAATAAAATAGATTCTATTACGCCCATGTGTATAACGCATCATAAACGTAGTTCAAATTCATTACAATGATTAATCATAACACATTATCAATCATTTTATTATGACTGATAAAGTCAAGAATCATACTACACAGAATTGTAACTCATTGACATTTTTTTGCAGTGATCTTATTTTATTATAATTCCAATAGTAGTTATACATTATAATCTTGTTATAATTCATTATGCATTACTTTCCTGAGGTATAACACAGGTATAATACAGTACATCAACAGCTGGTTATTAGTCATTTTTGTGCTCATTGTTTGTTTTAAGTCAAATGAAAAGAATAATAAATCTAAAATGTTGGGGAATAACCAGCATGTATAAAATAATATGAAACTTGAACTAATATTCATTATAAAATGCTCAATAATGTGTTACGAAACAATTAAAAGTAGTTAAAATGATAACTAGATTATATTGCATTATAAGTATGTTTTAAATAGATTATAATAGATAGATATTGGCGTCATGGAAAATGCTTCAAAATTGTTCTGCTTAAAATAACAAAGAAGAAATCACAGCTTTATCAAATTAATCCTAAAGGTTCATTTTGTATGGCAGTTAGAAGATGGGATGAGATGCGGTTTGAAGAGAAATGCTTCCTCCAGTAGGACCATGCGGCACCGAAGACGGCACTAAAAAACAAACAATCCCACCTAGGACTTAAATCTGCTATCACATGCTCAACTGTCCAGACTCCTATGGAGCTTTAAATCACTGCATGCATTACTACCTGCATGAATATTTATTAACATGTGTCACTTGGTATGGCGCTCCCACACATTCTCAACTGGCAGTGCAATTGAAAGTGACCACAGCAGAAGATTTATGTCAATAGGCCAGTATGCATTCACTGCAGAGCAATTCCTCAGTGCGGGAAGTGTTACTACATTTCACATCTTCCCCCCCGCGTCCAGACCTGGATGGCATTAAACTCACTAAGGGACCAGGATTCATTACCATTAAATCTCCCTCTGAGGTTATAGGCTAAGGAAATGTGACATTGTCCATGAAATTGAAACAGCTGCCTGCCTAATCAATCACAGTGATTGTTAATGTGCATGACTCCCACCAGTGCAGAGCAGAGCACGAGCACCAACAGCAGATATTCCTGCAACTTTTTAATTCACGGCATATCCATATTTCATTGCCTACTGATGTCCCCGAGGATAAACAATCTGGAACAATGAGAACCACAAATATCTGCTGTATTGAGCAAGAGGGTTGACTGATGGAGTGGTCGATGAAAATGATCGCGCAAATACCATTTTAAATTACAACACAAGCACATTTTTTCTCCTGGATATTGATTTATCTAAATGAATGCATTCGGAGAAAAAAAGACATGAAAAGTCAATTAAATGATATTGTGTGATATCAGGAAAGTTTGCATTTTTACTAATTTTTATGTACATACCTGATTATTTATTTTACAGATACAGATGCAGACGGCAATATCAGTGCATGTTCCACATTGTTTTTAATTCTCTAGTTTTCTTTATTTTATTTTTACATATCAAAGTCAAAGTCAGCTTTATTGTCAAAAACATGTGTTATACATACAGAAATCTAAAAATAAAGGAGTTACCTGTGGAGAATATACTACTACTCTACGTGTGAAAATAGTTTCCTGTTTTATGTTGAAATAAATCAGGAATATAATTATATCAACTCTGAATTAAAATGATTTTTAGACACTTTTAGAATCAGGCTTATGTGCTTTCTAGTTGAAAGTTAGCCAAGGCGATTAATAGCACCCTCATATCTGTACGGTAAATATGAAGCTCCAACCAGGAGATGGTTAGCTTAGCTTAGCATAAAGAGTGGAAACAAGGGGAAACAGCTAGCATGGTTCTGCCCAAAGGGAACAATACACACTAGAACCTCCTTACCTCATTATTAACAGTGTTAGGGAATAGCTAGAGTTAGGTTAATAAATGACAAAATATATTTAATGTAATCAGTTACAGTAACTGAGTTACCCTTGAAAAGCTAAATGTAACATTCTGTTGCTCTGTTCCAATATGAATTCAGGATGATAGGTTAAAACATGTATTAGAAATGTTATCAAGTTACATTACTTCTTTGAAGTTATTGAAATAGTTACTATACTATATTCATAATAATAAAGCAGCAAGCAATCCGTACATTTAAAAAATATACCTTCCCAACACTGATATAAACCCATGTCTTTGTTTAATCCAGACTATTTCTTGTTGTGTTGTTATTATATCCCTTTTTACAAGAAAGCAGATACAATTATTTCCAAAAATCTCCTCAATCTAAATGAGTGCATACTGTGTGTTATTGAACTATTTATCTGGATATCTACATACTAACCACATCCTTAATGAATCACTCCTGATTAATCTGGTGCTTAATGACACTTAGCCAATAATTAATTATGACTTCCTTGTCACATGTATACGTGTTGTGCAAATTATTCAGGGTAATGATTTTTGTGGATAGTGGGGTATTTATTCAACATTACCATGACATGTATGTCATGGTAAGGGATAACAGCCATTTGAGGGTGAAGTAAGGTCCCTAATATAAATGCTATCACTTAGCCTTCCCCAGTGTCAATGTGCATCAGCAGGCACTGTGATTTCTTCACTATCCCTCAAGACAATCCTCAATGGAGATGTCAGACAAATGGTACATATGGGCAAAGATGTGAAATAGCTCACTAATGGACCCTTGAAAAATATATCACACAAATGTATTTACAGAAAGAAAGCACTAAGTAGTATATTCGCTTTTAGAGGTACAAATGTGACAATATTAAAGGGGCTCTATTCTGCTAATTTTCAGGTTTCATAATTGTATTTTGAGAAACTTCCTCTGTAGGGAATTTGGGGATTTTAACCTTTGCAGACCATTTACATGCACAGAAACCTATACACACTACAGGAAAGGGAATCACAATAGGGCCCCTTTAAGATAAGGTGACCAGATTTTCAAAATTAAAACCGAGGACATTTTTAGTTTTGCGGTCAAAATCTCATTAACATATCAATTTTTCTTCACTGATAAAGAAAAAAGAGGGACAATTCTGCTTCAATGTAATTCGAACATTTTAACTGTTGGATACAAACAGAAGGACGATAGCTCATATATGAGACTTCAAAGGTCTTTAATTTTGAAACTGTACATCAGATTGTCCTGATTCTCTCTGAGTGATTAGATGGGCTGTCCTGCTATCACCCTGAAGTGAAATAAGTCTTTGATACTGGATAGTTTTTGTTTTATTCTTATCTAAAAATAGAGGGATGATAGCTCATATATGAGACTACAAAGGTATTTTATTTTGAAACTCTACATCAGATTGTCCTGATTCACTCTGAGTGACTAGATGGGGTGTCCTGCTATCACCCTGGAGTGAAATAAGTCTTTGATAATTTGACAGTTTTTTATTTATTCTTGTATAAAAACAGAAGGACGATAGCCCATATGAGATTTCAAAAGTATTTTATTTTGAAACTCTACATCAGATTGTCCTGATTCACTCTGAGTGACTAGATGGGGTGTCCTGCTATCACCATTAAGTGAAATAAGTATTTGATTGACTTCGAATGACTCTATGATTATGGACAGTTTCCATTAAATAATAATCAAAATGTAGATGGACAATAGATCTAATTTGAGATTTAAACAGCATACATTTTAAATTGTGCTTCAGAAAGTAATGTTAATTTAGGAGTGTTGTGAGATGGTGTCAACATCAATTGAAATTAGTCACCCAGTGGAAATGTCAGATATGTCTTCATATCCGTACATTTTACATTCACTCAGTTATAATGTGGTAGTTATACGTAGTATGTTTTAAATTATTATTGATCACACTATATAGTACATATTTCTTAATTCAAGCTCCAGTATATATGAATATGTTTGGTGTGTTTTTTAGGTATATTTGTTATTGACCGAGTAAACGCTTTTATTTTGAAGGCAGTTTTTACAGGCCTCTACCATAATGCATAGGATATTCGCGCACCGCAATACAACGTGCGGGCTGGCTTGACTGTTTTTTCCGAAGTGGGGGCTAGCTTGACCACAGTCTGTAGTGTTTACCCAGTGTTTCCTGACATGAAACGTTTTATTTCACGTTGCTATGTGTTTTTAACGTATATTAAAAAACGGGGATATTTCCGGGGACAGTTTCAACCGGGGACAGGGCAATTCTTTCACACACACATACGGGTTTTGGGCCGAGGGCGACACCGTACTTCCGGTATCCACCATTTCACACGAGGTGCAAGCAGAATATCATAGTCTATTGCCTTAATCAATATCTAGTCAACTCTAAAATACCACATATATGCATTGGCATGATAATATTATTGTGACAAGTGGGGTATTCACCTGGTGTTTCTATAAGATAGACGTAGATGCTGCCAAAATCGACCGAAGGCCACTTTCGAGAGTCGTTTTTCCATACATCTGCAGGCAGTCTGTAAGGGCAATCGGACAACCCACACAGCTCTAGTTTACGCTGGTAACGACCTAGAGCACACCCCTCAAGTCCAGAGATGTAATCCGAAGACATGCAGCGATTTCTTCGGTCGTTAATTCAGAAAAAAAAACTAGTGCGCTCTGCCTGGCTACATTACCTAGCTGTTTATATTAGCACCTTCAGGATATTAGCACCTCCAGGAAAATGGCGTATTTCTATATAGATATATGGCGCGCGTTGCATTGTGGGTAGCTCGTGACGTCACTGTGTGTGAAAGAATACAAACGGGGACTGTCCTCGGAAAACGGGGACGTCTGTTCACCCTACTTTAAGATAACCTGGTACAAACAATGTTCAGGAAATGTGTTTGAAGGTTGCTGTAAGTTTAGTATTAAAGGGATTAAAGTAAAAAAAATACTCACAGCTTTCAATCTCCAGGGTGCAGTTCTGTTCATCAAGAGGGTACCTTCTCAGATCCATCATGCATGCAGCGGTGGTGGTTATTCTATGAAAAACAGACAGAAACACAGAAAATATTTCAGTTATATTGTAAAGATGTGGATACACACGAGTTGTACGTAATGTTTTCCTACAAGTCAAAGAAATGGTTGAGAGAAAAGTCATGGTGTTTGAGAGATGTACCAGTGGCTGCCAGAACGAACTTCAAGCCCCCCCCCCCCCCCCCAAGGATGTGTGCTCAGCCCCCTGGCCTACCATGCTGTAAAGGGATCTGCTCCATCCTACATCCAAGACATGGTCAAACCATGCACTCCAGCATGTGCACTTCGTTCTGCATTGGCCAATCGGCTTGCTACTACCTCACTCCGAAGTGGAACCAGGTACTGTACACGTCAACAAAGACACACCTGTTTGCTATGCTGGCTCCCAAATGGTGGAACGAGCTTCCCACTGATATCAGGACAGCAGAGAGTCTACATATCTTCCGTCGCAAACTGAAGACCCACCTGTTTAGTTTATACCTTGGCGAGGAATCACAAAAAAAACGCACTTAAGATTTGTGCTTATGCACTACCACTTACAATGATATTGCTTGTTTGAAGTAAAGTTATCAGCACTGTCTGTTCTTGTTGTCCTTAGTTTTAATCCTATGTAATGTACTTGAACATGTTGCACACTATGATGAACTACCAGTATGTCCATCACTAAATACAGTTGCAGAGTAATTATCTTGTAGCTGCAGCACTCACAGCTAATACGATAATAATAATAATAATAATAATAATAAATTGTATTTCTATAGCGCTTTTCTTGAACCCAAAGACACTTTAAATTTGGGAGGGAGGGTAGACAAACAAAACAAAAACAAAACCAAAAAGAAACAAAGAAACAAAACAGAAAAGCAGTCAGGAGGAAGTTGGTTGAGAGGGGGGGGGGGGGGGGGGGCGCTTATGGATACAGAGTTGAAGAGGTGGGTTTTGAGAGATGGGTCAGCAAGGAAGCGGATCGTATAGGGGCGGATCCTATAGGGGCGTTTCCTAACTTTTTTTATCCAATAGAATAATGACACTCAGCAGAAATACATACTGTAGGTGGCAGTAATGCAATTTAAGGGATTCCAGCTGCTTTTATAAATCCTCGCAGAATAAGTCATTCGTTCTTTCACAATTGCCGAACTACGGAGCCCTGGAGGGTTCATAGAGAGAAAAATAAATAAAACGTGGCCACGTTTTACTTTCTCGTGCGCACGCTTTAGTAACTCGTGCGCACGAGTTACTAAAGCGTGCGCACGAGTTACTAAAGCGTGCGCACGAGTTAATAAAGTGTGGCCTCATTTTATTTAAATTGAGGGATTCCTGTCCGTGACTCACAGTATCTGCTGCCCACAGCTGTTTTATAGAAGGAAAACTTCCTTCACTTTATGAAATCTCAGCGGCACCAGTGGCCTGTACTACGAAGCAGGATTGGCTATTTACACTATTAATTCATGAAGTATGACGCTGCGCTGTCAGCACGCGTCTCCATGTTTGTGATTGGTCAAATGTTGCTAACCCTGTCCCTTTCACCTGAGCGCGCTCTCAGCCGGACAGAGAAACCCTGGTTGATTTACTGAGTTGATAACCAGCTTCGTAGGACCGCTTATCGACATCGCGTTTGTTAGGGTCAGTTAAGCCGGGTAAATCGAACATATTCAGGTCCAGGGTCTGTTGAACTGGCTTCGTCGTACAGGGCACTGGAGGCAGTAACGTGTAACTCAGCAGAATCTGAGAAGAGCAGCACCAGCTGCAAAGAGCTGTGCCTTTTACTGTTTCACTGCGGTTCCCTTCATTAGAACCGCTGAATAGAGATCGAGGCTGCTACGTTTAACCACACACACCTATACACACATCGAACTACCAGAGTATTCCCCCTCGCTTTATGAAGGAGATGTCCTGTCACCGGGGCGCATGATGTGTGTGTGTGTGTGTGTGTGTGTGTGTGTGTGTGTGTGTGTGCTCAGCTCCGCTCTGTGTGCGTGTTCGTGTGTATCCGACACCACCGGCATTTGTTTTCAAATTACCACGAACAGCACACGCACACACACACACACACACACACAAACGAGGCCACGCTTTATTAACTCGTGCGCACGCTTTAGTAACTCGTGCGCACGCTTTAGTAACTCGTGCGCACGAGTTACTAAAGCGTGCGCACGAGTTACTAAAGCGTGCGCACGAGAAAGTAAAACGTGGCCACGTTTTATTTATTTTTCTCTCTATGAACCCTCCAGGGCTCCGTACCGAACAACAAGTTGAAACAGCGGTAATAGTATTTTCCAGAGATGCATGTTTATATTTATTGTAATGTCATTTTTCTTAACACACAATTGTCTCGTTATCAAAGTACAACATCGACTGTCCAACCTCGTTAAGCGTTAATAAAGTAAATAATAGTTGTATGTGGTAAAAATGTTTGTGGTATTAAATGCTAACTTAGCATGATGCTATAAACACGTTGGCCTATAGTCCCGTTTGCAACCAGGCCTACTCTACTGTTGTAATAACGTTAAGCTTAGATAGGTCAATAGATTATCAGGCTCGGTAACAATACTGATTTGTGTTACCAAAGCTGATCATCTAATTGACCTAAGGTTAGCGTATATGCTGTGATGCTAACCAGCACTTAGCATGATGCTAGTGTACTGTTGTATTATCTTGGAAATATAAGTAGGCCTGCCCTACATACTGTAACTTAATCAAATAATATGGTATTTATTCGGATAGACAACATGGCTAGCTTGGTTGGTTGAATTGAGTAATAAGATGTGCGGTACTGATTAAGGTTGTAACTGTAACAGTTTGTAACTACTAGTTGTAATGAACCAGACGAGAGACGGACGCATCCTTTCAGTAAATGTCGGCTGCTAATCAATATGTAAAAATAACACTTCAGATGTGTCTTCTATAATTATGTAACATTAGTTATGGCATCATCAGAAAAGATGAGCTGGCAGGATTCTGCAGCATTGACTGTTTCTATGATGCTGGAGGCACCTTCCAAGAATAAAATGTTTGTTTAATAAAGACTTTCCTCTTTGTATGTACTGTATATATATATTTCTTTTTTATTAATCTTACCACCAGACACAACATGAACAAATGAATGATATACATCAGGACAGTAACTTAAATTTCAGTATTTTAGGTGTACAGAAACCTCTATTCATGTTGTTAAATGATATACAGCAATATCTTCCATAAAACGTAGTTGATTGATTTGAATAATAATTACTACCACTGCACAAACAGTGAAAAATGATATGCCTACAATTTATGAATTTGTCTTCTCTGTGGGTTGTATACTCTTCATTCTTTATGCAAATTAATTATAATTATTATTTTTCAAAGTTCGTTTATGATTCATTCAAAGCATTAAAATAGATGAGAAACAGAGAGCGTCATATACCTTTAAGAAATACGTGGGGGCGGGGTTCATAACCCTTTAGGAAACGCCCCTATACGATCCGCCCCTATACGATCCACCTCCTTGCTGCGGTCTGCAGCCAGACTCTATTGGGTTTTGAGGCGGGACTGGAACAGGGTGAGTGACTCAGACTCACGGAGGTCTTGGGGGAGGGAGTTCCAGAGCTTCGGGGCTGCCACAGAGAAGGCTCTATCCCCAAAGCTCCGGAGTTTGGCCTTGGGGATGGAAAGCAAACTTGCTGAGGTGGATCTGAGGGACCGGGGTGGTTGGTAGAGGATGAGGAGGTCAGTGAGGTAGGGGGTGCCAGATGGTGGAGGGCTTTGAAAGTGAGGACCAGGAGTTTGTAGTGGATGCGGTGTGAAACGGGGAGCCAGTGGAGATCTTTGAGGACCGGGGTGATGTGATGCCATAATTTGGTGTGGGTGAGGAGTCTGGCGTCTGCGTTCTGGACACGCTGGAGTCTATTGAGGGATGTAGTGCTGATGCCGTAGAGGAGTGAGTTGCAATAGTCAAGGCGGGAGGAGATGAAGGCGTGAATGAGTCGCTCAGCTGCAGGGCGGGTGAGAGAGGGACGGAGTTTGGCAATATTGCGGAGGTGGAAAAATGAGGTTTTTACAACTTGACGGATGTGGGGCTCGAGGGAGAATGTGGGGTCAAATATAACGCCACGGTTGCATGCCTGGGTGGAGGGGGAAACAGGGGTGCCATCAATGGTGACTGTCAGGTTGGGGGTTTTGCTGAGGGTGGATTTGGAGCCGATGAGGAGGAGTTCAGTTTTATTGCTGTTGAGTTTGAGGAAGTTGTGTTGCATCCAGGATTTTATTGCAGTCAGACAGGATTCGATGTGGTTGAGGTTGTGGGGGGATTTGGTGCTGAGGTAAATCTGTGTGTCATCAGCGTAACAGTGAAAGTCCAGGTTGTAGTGGTGGAGAATCTGACTAAGGCGGAGGATGTAGATGATGAAGAGGAGGGGGCCGAGTACTGAACCTTGGGGAACACCTTGGGTGACTGAAGCTGTGGCAAATGAGTGGTTGTTGAGGGAGATGAAGTGTGATCTGTCGGAGAGGTAGGACTGGAGCCACCTGAGTGCAGTACCTTCGATACCGATATCCTGGAGTCGGGTAAGCAGGATGGAGTGGCTCACGGTATCGAAGGCTGCACTCAGGTCGAGGAGGATGAGGATGTTGAGGGAACCGATGTCAGCAGAGGTGAGGAGGTCATTGAGGAACGATGTTTCATAATAAAACATAAGTGGGTTTGAATGTATGTAACTAGTGCTGTGTACCGGTACGCCGAACCGGTACTGGACTTGTAAAAAGTTTCGGTTCAAGACCGGTTAAAACCGGAACGTCGGGAACCGGTACTTGGACTTGCAAAAAAACTAGCACTTACGTATATTCTGGTGTCTGTGGTTATTTAAACATTCCCTGATAAACGTTATTCAGCGTCAATAAATGAGTGCTAATCCCAGTGTGCTCAGTGTACAATATCACATGTCATTTCACCTTCGATTCACGGTTTGAAAACGTAGCATTTCGCCACATGCTAATGCTAACCGGAAGTGAATAATTTTCAGAATACAAG